CTATGGAAAAGGTCAAAACCCATACAGTCTCCAGTGAGCCTCGGAAGCTGAGAGGTAGCGAGCGTTGGCATATGTCTCAACTTCATCCTCCTGCTCAAATGCTGCAACTACTCTGTCTGGACCCTTGTTGATGTATTTAAAAAGGTATTTCACACACCTTGTTGAATATACCACTTCAACATTTATATGGGCTTCGTAAATTAACGATAAAAGTGGACTATAGGGTACTACCCAAGAATTGTCAAGCAGGAAAAAGTTCGGATTGCTTTCACTTCCCATATTCACCCTATGAACTTGTCCTCTATCTTCTGGTGATCGACGCCGATAAACAGGAGGGCTGTGTTGGGTTAGCATTGTGTCTGCTGACAAATTCCTTCGGGAATTTCTTGGAGCATTTCTTGTCAGCACCTTCGCCAACCATACACGGTGAGTTCCTGTTAATGTTTCGCAAGGTCCATGTACATTGTTGGTTGTTATAATCTTGTGCAGCCGAGGGTTAGTCTGAGGATCTGGAATCTCTGCGCAAACTATCTTATCAACATCCTCTGGTGTGCGAGGTTTGAACTCATCTGCGAGAATAACAACAATGTGAATATGAGGCAATCCCCTTTTCTGGAACTCGACGGTAGCAGTATAGCCCCGTATATCTCCAAAGACTTTGTTTAAGCATATGTCTTTGAGTAAAGCATTCAACTTCAATTTAAAAACTCTAGCGCAAAGATCGGGCCGATCAGTGTATGATTCTCCTGGTTCCAATGCTTCCTGTATTTCTTTCCATTTTGGGTTACAGGTAAAACGTTACAAACAGATCTGGCTTCCCTAACTTTCTAACAATTCCCATTGAGTCTTGGAAGCGTTCACGATAGTACCTTGGCGACCCGTAGAGAAAGAAGGAGGTAATATAATGCGCTTTCCTGCATTGTTCAGATCATTGTCCGCCTGAGCATCTATGAGCCCATTATATTTTTCAGCCTGTGATTGTTTTCTGGTTATGCCGTACCCAATCTAAGCGGCTACCCTCAATCTTTGCCCACATATCGCACACATACTGCTGCGTCAAACGTCTGTATTTCATTACTGAGTTCCAGTCGTCCCTAACCTGCATCCGATAACAGTAGAAATCAGAAGCCGTTAAGGTCCTATTGTCAGATCTTTTCATGGCCCAACCTGAAAGCCATCATCGCCTTTGGAAACATAATAACATAATGTAATGGATCATATGACCGATGAACTGGACTGATCCTTCTTACTGCACCTCCCCTCTCGTGCAAAATAACGTCCATATTCGCAATGATTTCCCCCGGCAAAAGTACACCGACCTCTGAAGCTGTTGGCAGGTTGTATGTTCGTGCATGGGCATCAGATGGCCGTCGTCGTTCATCGGCATGCAAAACTAATTTAACATCAGGCGAAATGCGCATTAGTTCAAGTCCAGACTTCAATGAGCAGATGTAGGGATTGCATTCATGTAACGTATCTTGAATAAGCTCAACCGTCTGCTGATCCAAAGAGCTCATAATTTCCATCCTGTTTCCGGTTTCGTGGTCAGTATCATGAAAATAGAGTTGAGCAAATTTCGGGCTTTCACCATCTTGTGGCAATAAGCTGCCGATTCTGTGGTAGATTTTACCGCGAACGGTAAATGTCGGGCTGAACCCCTGATGTTTAATTTCTTGCCCACAACCAAGTGATGCCAAGGCAAAAAGATTATTATACGCTCGAGCATTTTTGAGGAAATGGGATCCGTTAACATCAAATAATAACTGAAACTGTTCTGGAATTGGTGGTAAGCGTGGCATTTTCACTTTCCCTCCGCTGCAGCATGTGTTCTTGTTTTCATTATTCCAGAAGTATGCATTACAATGATCACATGTATAATCCCTGATTGACCCTTCAAAAGTGTTGCAAAACTCCTCTGGAAGTTCTGTTTCATCGAACTCGTCAACAGGTATTTTTGACGCTAGATTAAACCAAGCTCTCCCAGTTCGCCCTCTAAACCCCAATCTGTTCATTCCTCTTGTGGCATGTGATGGATACCCCCGACGTTGGCGTCTCCGTCCTCTTGTTCCCCTGGTCCGCGGTCGGTTTCTCGATGAGTTTTTTGGGGTTCTAGAAAGGCTTGGACTTCGTTTGGATTTGCGACCAAACCCACCTCTTGTTCTCTGGCGACCTAAAAGTTGAAAAGTTTTAAAATTTTGGTATTTGGAACGACTATTTCTACATTTGCAGCATGATTCAAAAATACGACAATCAAGCATTAGTAACTAAACTTTTAAAATCACCTCTTATAGCATTTGGAGATATATCAACTGCAACTGGAAAATCTCGTCGATAACGTTTGGAAGGGTGCTTACTATCATCACTACTATCATCAGAGAGGGACAGATTAGTAGTTTCACTGTCATCTGAAATAATTATCTCTGATAATTTACGTATTATCAAGTAATAATTACAACCGTTATACTTAATAATAACCTGCTCGAGTACATCGTTTATATAACGCAGTATTACTGACCTAATATAGAGTTGGGGCGTTCTTGCTGAGCAGGATGAGGAAAATTTAAAGTAAGATCTAAATTGGAATCGGTTGACTGTATAGAAACGTTGCTTCTCCGAGTTCGCTTGCAGGAAGGTTCACAATTTTCCGCTGAAGGAGAAAACGTTACAGGCTACATTAAACAAATCATGGCTTATTCATTATTAGCCTTATTAAAAAGCTATACTTACCAGTTCCCTAAATGTTGAAAATATCAAAAATGTTTTGAACTACAAATATAATCGGAACTAACGTGAAACTGTAAGCAGGTTCGGGAATGCAGGACCAGGTTGTTGACTATCATGAAAACTTTTAGTGGGGCCCATTCTCTTTACATGATCGCGGTTGTCTGAATAGAGACACAGCCTATCAAGTCGGTCTTCGAAGGACTCGTTTGCCAGTCGGACAGCCTGATTGGTTTTTAACATCTCCAGCCGATGGTCTCGCTCCTCCTGAGACTCATTCCGGATTCTGATGGCTTGACTATTTTTTAACATCTCCAGCCGGTGGTCTTGCTCCTCCTGAGACTCATTCCGGATTCTGATGGCTTTACTGTTTGCTTTCATCTTCAGCCGATGATCTCGCTCCTCCTGAGACTCATTCCGGATTCTGATGGCTTGACTATTTTTTAACATCTCCAGCCGGTGGTCTCGCTCTTCCTGAGACTCATTCAGGATTTTTTCTTGCTTCCTCTTTCTGTCTCTACTCAAACGTTTTTCACGTTCCTGATCAGACTCCCGTTTTCTTTTTATAGGCTTTTTGTCTGAAAAAAAATACTCAGTATATACTTTCAGTTTCTGACTTAGAAAAATAAACTTATAGAGTTATATTTTACGAAATTTCAAAATATTCCCTATTTTAATGTTTATGAACCTGATAACAGAGCTGCAATAGATCTTGCTGTAGTTGATCCTCTGGGACGACCTCTAGAACGACCCCTAGGACGACCTCTAGTTCCGGGAAGACCTCTTATTTCTCTGGGGCGACCTCTCGCCCTAAGACGATCTCTAGCAGTAGTACCAGTGACAGGACTTAACGTATTGGGAAAGTCGAACTCTCGTCCTGAACAGTTTTTATATTAACATTTTATAAATCAACGTCTAAGCTTCAGCTTAAAGACAAAACGAAAGTAATATTAAAAAATTCAAATATTGCTCACCTTCCTCACTTCGGGGCAGAGGTGTGCTAGATGAGCACGGTATAGGTGGGTCTTCCTCCTCTAAAATAAGAGTAGTAGGCCTCTCAGTGTCATTACCATCTCTCTTCCGCTTCATAATAACATTTACTACGCAATACATAATTTTTGAATATTATCTCGCATTATATTTTCATTTTTAGTTCAAATTTCCATAAACATTTTAGTCATACCAAGTGTGAAATTTGAAATTTGGGCAGCGCTTCCGCCAGTGGCAGCAGCATCTGCCAGTTCTAAATCGTATTTTTGTTTCAATTGGCCCCCATGTGCAAAAAACAGCACACTACTTTGGAGTCGAAACAATATTGTACTGCAGTAAGTGCATAGTTTTACATGCATTGAAAATCTAATCAGCTATGTATAAAAAGATAAGATTCAATAATTAGCGACGGCACATTTCCATGTATAGTAGTAGCTGTAGTTTGTAAATAGATATTGGTTTTTATACTCATTTGTGTCTGCTGATTTGTGCAGATAATATTGCCTTAATAACGAATGGTGTCAAGAGTATAAAGTAAAAGAGACTGAAATAATTATTACCTATTTAAATCGCGTTTTTGACACCACTTGGGAGTCCAAATTTTGGGTACTAAAATTCTTATTCCTTGGCCAATTTTTTATTTTTTCATGCTGATTTGAAGGCCATTAAAGCATTTGACCCAGTCAAAAAAGTTTCAGTTGTATATCTTTTACGGTTTTTGCAGAAAGTCGCGTTAAAGTTGATGCCGTGGTGTCAGTAAAATGGCATGGATATATACACATATATATATCGTCTCGCTTTATATATAGTAAGATAAGATCTGGTTGTTACGCTTCAAATGTTACAAATTATTTTCCATCTAGTTTGATTAACCACGAGTCATTATTTCTGTCTACTTTCAACAATTATTGATAATTCGACTTGTTTCACAAGTTTTAGCAATGCGAAAATTTTTAAACTTGCTTATCTCTAATAAGGAAATTTACATCTGAGACAAAATTTTTGAATCTAAAATTGAAAGGTTGGACACCGGTAAAATGGCGACCGGGAAAATGTGGTGGGTTTTGAGCAATTTCGCCATATTTTTCCCGAACCATATTTTAACCGGTCGTTAATAAACCCGTCGTAATAATCCCGAGTAAGGTAAACATAATATCTATTTATAGATTCAAACAAACTTAAGTCATTCAAGTGTAACCTTTACAACTGCTGAACCTCTTGCCCTGCACCAAGCAAGCTATGTATAATAATGTTAAGCACATAAAACACAGAATATCGTTACAACATACCGGGGGTCCCCATGAGAGCATGTTTCGTGTTCAACAGGTACTTTGTGACGTCATCGTTTATCTGAAAGATGTGTATGCTATTAAGAATGTGACAAACAGTGTTTTAATACCTTTGACGTAATGTTACTGTTACTTAGCAGCTGGTATGTTTTGCCATCTTTATATCATTACTGAAATTCATGTGATAAACACTTAACTTGAATTTACAACTTTGATTTTAAATAATTTTAAATAATTTTAAACAGTAACAGTATGATTACAGTCAGTGTAAATCTGCTTAAATAAATTAAATGTATTTCTATAAGCATGCTCATTAAACATAATTATCTTGGTTCAAGTGCACAGGGAAGACATAAGTGACAAGGTTGACTTCAAGGTGATCATTGTATCCTTGTATCCTTGTATCCTTGTATCCTAGTATAGGTAATAACGATTAACGATCACTTGGATCATGTATACTAAAAATACCAATTCTATTCATCTGAATAGGGGCAAATTTGGTGTCAATTATAAATCCAACAAACCTTCTCAAGCTTCTTTGCATTAGCCTGTTCACCTTGCTCATGCTCTTTTACAAGCTGCGTAAGAACCGACTTCAAATTTTGCACAAGCTGAAAACATGCTACGTTAGTAATGGTACTTCAAGAATTTTTAAAATGGTGATGTAATCCTTTACATTCGAATATAAAGATAAAATCATCAACAAAGAGATAAAATCATCAACAAAGCAAGTTAATTATCCACAAGAGTAATGATATCAAAATCTTGTCGAATAGAATAAAACCTGCAACGATATCATCCCAATTAAGTATTAATCTAACCCGAAACAATGAAACATATCATTAATCTGTAAAATAGTCTCTAGTTAATACTTACTTGCTGAGGTGTCTTTTCTGACCTAAAAAGGGCCAGGGGCATCTCCCTACGACCCTACTTCAAGAACTTTTCTATTACCTAAATCATTGAGTTGCATTTAATTGAAAAAATATTTGTCTTGATTAATTAGAAGAAAAAACAATTGCTAATTTATGGCACAAATAATTTCTTTCTCTAAACCACAGGTTAAAAGGCAAGACAGTTTTTTAACTTGGGTCAGAAAATGAATTAAATTATTGGTCAAAGCCCAAAGTGGTTTTTCCAACGAGGAGGATATTTTGACTCCTTCCATCACAGCATGACAGGCATGGTAGAGGAATTCTCACTCCCACGCAACAATTAGTATATATATTTTAATCCATAGTAATAATAATAATAATTCTATTTGTATCTTAATTTTAATCTTAGTTTTAATACTTTCAACACTACTATATAACAAATAATTTAGGCATGGCTAAGACGATGGGTCCACTCGTGGACAGAATGTCGCTGGAGTAAAGTCAGCCGGTGTCCCGGGTTGAGACGGGGGTAGTGAGGCAGTGTAGCGGTGTACGGCAGTCTTTTATTCTCTGTCCCAGCTTGGCTGGGACATCTCTGAAATCTTAACAAGGTCAGTTTTCTAACTTCATTTATTCAATTTCCAATTTTCTAGCTCACTTACATTTTGATTGATAGTTTTCATTACTAACTATTACTCTACATAGATCTCCCTTCACTCTCATTCTTTTGTCATTGATCCTTTTATTTACATGATCTGCTCGGCCCTTTTATTTCCCAGGTCTCTGATCACTGATAGTTGTCCTGCCGACACTGCTGTACTCCTGATCTGCCCCTTGATCACCTGGCGTCCTACTTCGACAAACAATGCAAGAATTACCCAAAGTGTTCGTCGATCTTCTCAAAACAGCCACTCTAGCTGAAAAACGTGCAATGTTGGAAGCCCTAACCCTCGACGTTGCTTCTGAGTCTGCTGCAGAATCTACTGCCTCGTCTGATGACATTGTATCCCTTGTTGAACATGTTAACGACCTTAACTTGGACAAAACCCTTTGTGATGACCTCCGAAAAGAGCTTGACTCTCTTAACTTAAAACAGAGGGGTCGTCCAGTCACTACTCAGTGGCTTAGTCCGACCACTCATTCTTATAACTATGGTCATGTTATGAACAAACCAATTCCTATAAACGATTACCCCAATTTTTGCAAGCTCATGGAAGTGGTTAACAATCACCCTTCAACATCTGGTGATATGGACTCCTGCCTGATAACTCGTTATGCATCGAGCAAGTCTACTCTCCGACTCCATCGTGATAACGAGCCACTCATATCTCAGACTAGCTCAATTTGTACTGTTTCACTAGGTGCACCACGAGAACTTTCAATCGTTCTTGATAGTAATAAAAACAGCGATAGTCCTGATCATGTGCTACCAGCCACTGATAAAACCATGAACATTATGAAACCTGGTGCTCAATCTAAAATGAGACATGCAGTTTATTCTGGTAATGTTGTCGGTGAAAATGAACAAGTACGTTTTAGTCTCTCGTTCCGTAAGATTAAACCTCCTGAAGAGGATCAAGTGGATTTATCCCAAGTCAATGAACAAGTCACGAAAAAGCAGAAGATTGTTCTTGTTGCTGGGGACTCTTTTGCTGCTAGATTAGATGAAAAATTGTTAGGAAAGAATAAGCAAATAGTTAAGAACATCGCCGTTGGAGGCAGTAAACTTGATAAGGTCAAGAGAGATATCGAGAAATTCGTGAAAGATAACCCTAATTTAGAAGTTGTTAAATTATTTGTGTCTGTTGGTACTAATGATATACGGTACTGTGATAATGGAATAGCACATCTTAAAAGTGCGGTATCTAGTTTAATGAGTTCCATAAAGTTGATACTTCCAACTGCAAAAGTATGGTTTCAATCTGTTCCTCCAATTAATCCTAATGGTTGTAAATTTACTGAGAGAAATGTTATTCGAATGAACAATCTGATTTACAATATGTGCTCCCGGTATAGGCATTATTTCTTAGATATCTTTCCTGCTTTCTTGGATGCTAGGGGCTGCATCAACACGAGACTTTTCCCGCATTTTGACACTAAGAAACAGCGTTTTGATATTCACCCAAATAATAAAGGCATGGGTTTTTTTTTTTTTTTTTTTAAGAGAGGCTGGGCCTGGTAGGCCCACGAGAGGATAGCATATGAATGCTTTGCCTACCTCTGGGGTATGGCAGTCCTGTGGGAGGATGCCAGTGGAATCAAGATGTGTAATCAAGGATGATGGTAAGTGTGTCATAGATAAACGCTTAAGTGGTGGTTGAGTGTGGAAGAGAGAGGCGAAATAAGACGGCGTTAAAGTAGTCGCTATGTTACACCTGTCTGGTCCAACTCCTCTGGCACCACTAAGCGTTTAGTGTGGTTTGTAAAGTTGACAATGGTGGAGATGTGTTGGTTGTCGAATATGTCATTGACAGAGAGGTAGTAGTCCCGGAAATATTGACCTCTAAAGGCATGGGTGTTCTTGCAAGATTCTACATATTTATTATTCATTCAAAATGGTTCAATCCTCTTGGTTTCTAAACCGCAATTCAATTAAAAATTTGATACCTACTGTGCTGCGGTAATGGAGTCAATTCAGGGTTGAACAATTTTGAAATATGTTTTCATTAACACAAATGATTTTTAATTGCCAGGGTGCAACCCAATGGTTCATACTGGTAGGCTGTATGCATATTTTAAATTACATTTGAATTAAATTTTTGACACCAAAGAATTCCTGTCAAGTGGATAGTTCTGCTTGGGGTAGGGGGGTTAGGTTTGGATCGGATATCAGGACTAGGATATTTGAAGATGCACTTATCTTCAATTCTAGACCATCTAACATTGGTATCTATGTTCTGCACTTGTTCATCATGTTTTGTCTAATTGGTATGATTTTAACAAGCTCGAAAGAGTCCAATGAGATTGATAGGTTTATTCATCCCAGTAGATTCTACTTTAATACCAGTAAGGCCTTCCCACTTGTGTCTCATATTAATTGTGCATACCTGTATATCTTTGGTTTTGCAATTAAGAACTTCATCTTTACTCAGTACCAAAGACTCAGTCGGAGATACCGAGTTGAAAGGCTGACTGCCGCTAATATAGTGTTTGGTGCAGTAACTAGCACATCTAGGCAAGTTCTGAGTATGTCGATTTTACTTCTATTGACCTTAAACTTCTTGCTTATTGCAATATCAAACCCTAGTATGCTTAATCCCGGCCCTAATCACATATCAGTCTATTATCAGAATGTTCAAGGCTTGATACCGTTTTCTCAACTTAACAGTAAGCAACCTCATCTTGATAAATCCAAAATATATGAACTTAATGCACATATTGAAGATTCACATCCTGACGTTATTCTGCTTACAGAGACTTGGCTTAAAAACTCTGTAATGGATAGAGAGGTCATTCAAAGCTCTAACTATGAAGTATTTAGAAATGATCGCTCAAAAGTATCACATCCACCTGATGATAACAATCCGAAAAAATATAGGAAAAATGGTGGAGGAGTCTTGATAGCAATCAGATCTGATATTCAAGCTGAAATCAAAAGACTGTCTGTACGTAAGGGGTCCGAAATGGCCGCTATTGAAATAAACATAGGTGAAAGTAAATACATTTTTTGTGTGGTTTACAGAGTCGGAACTTTAGGAACAGTAAACCATGAAAGTATTGCCAGTACAATCAAGTCTTTCTACTCAAGCAAACGCCCTAAAAAACTTTTCATCGTTGGTGATTTTAATCTCAATGGAGTAGATTGGTTTTCTGAGGACGGAATTGTTACACCTTCTAGTTTAATTGAAGAGGACTTCATTACAACATTCCATAACTTTGATCTAGATCAATGTATAAGTAGTTCTACACATGTTAAGGGTAACATACTAGACCTTCTTTTGAGTAATTGTAAAAATTTAGTAAGAGATCTTACGGTATTGAAGGGTCACGGTGCTTGCAAATCTGACCATTATCCAATAGCTTTTAAAGTTGCTACAAAAATCACTTATTCTAAATGTCCTAAAAGAAAGATTCTCAACTTTAAGAAGGCAAACTGGACGGCCATTAACGAAGACTTGAATTCTATTGACTGGAATGCTATGTTTTTAAAGCTAGGAGATCCTGAATATTGTTGGCTTGCCTTAAAGTCTGTAATATCGAAAAGTATCTCAAAGCATATCCCAACTATTACTTTAAAGTTAGCATATAGAAATCCCTGGTTTGACTCAGAGGCCCATGAGGCATACTTGAAGAAAAAAAGAGCTCATGAAAAGTGGAAACTAACCGGCCAACAAAAGGATTATTTTAAGTTTTGCTCACTAAGAACACAGTTCAAAAATCTATCTGATCAGAAGATGAACGATAATCTATATAACGATGATGACCCTGCATTGATCTCAAAGAAATTCTGGTCGCATGTAAAATCCTCTTCAAAGAATTCAAGAATACCGGATAGGATGTACCTTAGAGAAACATACAGAGAATCTCCATTAGACAAAGCAAATATCAAGAGTATTATACCCAACATTGACCGGCGAACTGATAGCTACTTCAGAAGCAATGAAACTACAATCTTCTAGATAAAATGAGTCATAGTACTTTCAGCCGGAGCCATCATAAGTGACATAAATCTAAAAGATAGTATGGTTAGTTTCTAAATATAAACTCAAACTCTGAAAAGGAAACTGCCGTGAAATATGAAACATCAATAAAAGGACCAATTATTTTTAAAAAATAATTTATGGAAAGCCCCTCAGGCAAAATAAAAATCAATTGTGCAATAAAGGAATCTTAAAAGGGTTTGTACTATTCATTCCTGAGGGGCGGAGGGAATTTAAGGCATGTATATATCGGTGCTCCTTAACATCTAAACTACTAGGACTTGAATTTTCTAGGATACACACTGAAACACTATTGTTAAAATTTTCCTTCTGAGTCAGTCCATGCTCTATATGGAGGTGGAGTCATCATCCGTGTCAACCTTTTGCCCACTGATGATCTTGTAGAATGCTCTTCTGTGTTCGCCAAACCTTACCCGTA